ACTGCTAATGCTAGCTTATCTAAGGCTACTACTGCTAATGCTAGCTTGGCAAAGGCTACTACTGCTAATGCTAGCTTGGCTAAGGCTACTACTGCTAATGCTAGCTTATCTAAGGCTACTACTGCTAATGCTAGCTTATCTAAGGCTACTATTGCTAATGCTAGCTTGGCTAAGGCTACTATTGCTAATGCTAGCTTATCTAAGGCTACTACTGCTAATGCTAGCTTATCTAAGGCTACTATTGCTAATGCTAGCTTGGCTAAGGCTACTACTGCTAATGCTAGCTTGGCTAAGGCTACTACTGCTAATGCTAGCTTAGCTAAGGCTACTACTGCTAATGCTAGCTTAGCTACTGCAATGGATACTGCTGGAATTAGTAATTCTGATACAGTTAATGTTTTTACTGCTAACAATTGTTGCCATTTTAGATTAAAAAAAAAAACTAGGACAAAAAAATTATGAATATTGTAAAAAACTATTAAATTAGTTTGAAAATCTTTTAGATCTTTCCATACATAACTGATATTTTATTGTGTGTGACCAATAAAACACGAAGACAACAAATATGAAAAATAGCTCCGAACAATCAATGTTTTATCTGGTAAAATGTGTCGGATCAATACCTGGTACCAACATGTTCCAGAGAGGAAGAGTTTACTTCTGTAAACACAAGGTGGTTAATCTTTAAAGGAAAGTCCTTTAATCAGCACTTATGCTGACATTCACTAAAAACAAACAAAAACTAATCAATATTTTAAAATAAGATCAGGAACAATTTTACCAAACTTACATAAAAGTACAACAATTTTAATTAGAGAGCCAAGCTACCCATTAAACACATTTTATCCTAATATTATCAAACGTGACTCTTCTCGCTCATCATGTCTTTGTTAAATACGTTCAGCTCGTCCGTACAAAGGACTGTTGTACAGAGAAGACACAAACAGCAACGACTTGACAACCTCCGAACAAGTCAAGGCGGCTACATTTCACTGTTAAAAACAGTATTCCGGAAAAAAAAAAACTTACCTTTTCGATGTTTAAAGACAAAAATCCTTCAGGAAAAAAAACACTACCGTACATTTATTTTCCCGGCAGAGCAGCTGGACGGTCGCTGTTTTTCAGAACAAAAAGAGTCACGTGAGACCAGCGGTGATCTCAAAGTAAATGGATAAGCAACGCATCATTTTAATTTCAGGCAGTGAGTGCAGCACACATGGTTTACGATGTGACCTCTGATCATGTGACAGTTTGGCTCCACCTTCTGCTGTGCCAGTTTGGGCGGAAGCTAAATAAAAGCACAAATAAAACAAAATAAAATTTAACATGTCAAACTTGAAAGTTGAAACACATTCTTTTAAAAATAAGTGTAACTCCTGGTTTCTATATGCGCCTTTTAGACGAATGGCTTAGCAAATAAATTCATTGAAATTTGAAAATGTTCAAATTAACTTTGCCCTTGAATCTGACGAAATATCGTCAAGTTTTTGTTTTTTTTAATTTAAGGACAAACTATAGTTTTATATCACCATGTATAATATTGACCAATAATTTGGATGTGCTAATTAAAATTCGGCGTGCCTAATTTCCCTAAAATGTATTAGTCTTTAGAATTTTATTCTCTTTTAACTATTCTTACAAGACATTACCCTTAGAGCTAGCTTTCAAACAAACACATAAAGTTAGCTTTGACACTCTATTGTAAAAATACAAACAACATTTTAAAATGACTGTATTAAAAACTACCTTTGTGGGATAGTTTATTTTATATTTGCTTTGGTCGGAGGGCTAAAACATCACTTCCGCTTTTCTACGTTACTATGGCAACAGACCACCTGTTTGTAGACGGAAGTGAGCGTACAAGCTGCTGTTTGAATGAGATTTATAAACCCATCACAGAAAGATCATTAAAGCGCACATTACACAACTGTAACTGTCTTCATGGCCAACTACAGAGTGAGTATTACCGAACGCAGTGACCGTGTTTATCGCTGATATTTACTCTTTTATTTATACTTGATTTTATGCTCAGTTAGCATGAGCTAACTAGTTAGCATCAAACGCATCGTGAAAGTGAACGCACCACAAGTCCTGTGTTCTGTTCACTGGCCTTATTTTAAAGGGTAAACATTTGTCTTCGTCCAGTATATAATGTTTAGAAGTAGTTGTTTGACTGGTGAATCAAATATAATCTGTTTATGGTGATTTGTTTGTTTGTTTCAGGCGTCAGATTCGAAGCGAGAGCAGTTTAGAAGATATCTGGAGAGATCTGGAGTTCTGGACACTTTAACCAGCGGTAGGTGAAAAGAAATCCAAACATTTAGTTTAATCTGGTGATGGAACACAAATGCATCTGTGCAATTTTAATCTTTCCGTTCTGCAGTTTTAGTGGCACTTTATGAAGAACCAGACAAACCCAGTAATGCACTTGAGTATCCTTTTCTCATTCTTACACATTAACTTATTGTTGAAACATCTGGAATGAGTTTTTAAAAGTTTTGTTTGCTGCAAAGACGGACTTAGTAGCTGCCATAATAATCCCTGTGTTCTCCATCAGATAACAGCAGGTTAGGATTAAAAGGAGTCATCAAGTCATCCTTTCAGTTTTGTTTTATGTCAGCTGTTTTTGGGTTCTGTTGGACCCAGTTTGGTCCAAACTCCAGCTGTTGTACAGATGGACTCGTTGCACTCCAGAACCCTTTGGTCTACAGAGGAGTTCCTGGTCCACTCACTGACTGACAGGAGCCCGAACCATCAGCCTCCACCACCGTGCTGACAGCTGTGTGTTGCAGTGCATTGTGGGTAGACATCTGTTCTCTGATCTGGTTCTGCCCCAGAAGTCTTGTGATTCTTTCAGATGAAACTTTCCAAACTTGTGTAGTCATATTTTCAGAGAAGAGGCCATGACCTTTGACCTGAGGCCTGTAGAGTCCAAGATGGTGCGTACTTTACTGAGCACTGCACGGTCTGACCTTCGGGGTGACTTTGCTGGCACTCCTGTGCAGACTGTCAGCTGTCCTAAAGTTTTTTACTGGTGAATAATATTTCTCTCTGTAAAACAACGGACTCCAGATGACCTTTAACCCCCCCCCAGATTGACGGGCTGCAACAGCTGCTTCCCTGACGTTATTGCTGATGTCTTTCTGCCTTGGCGTTGTGTTAAAACACAGCTGTAGGCTCCACATCAGAGCTGGTCTCACTGAGGATCAGCTGATAATTTCCTTGTTTTTTATTTAGTTTAAACAATTCAAGCGTTGAAACGATATCTGGACCTTAACCAGAGGCTCAGCTACATAAAGCTGCACCTCGGGGCGGCTGGTCCGGACCCCGCAGACGCCGAGGCCCTCCGACTGGAGCTGGCTGACCTGCAGCAGAAGTGCAACCTGCTCCTGGAGGAGAACAAGACGCTGAAGAACCGGGTGAGGAGCTGAGGGTCAGGGTTCTCTCAGGGTTCTACGCCTGAAACTAACTTCCTGTTCCGTCTGGGTCCACAGCTGCTGCAGTACGAGGCGTCGCCTGATGAGGCCGCAGCGTGAAGTGAACCGGAGCGGTAGAAAAATGTCGAACTTGTCTTTGTTTGGACAGAATATAAATGTTTTCTTCATCAGAGCGAGCAGTGAAGACTCTGCTAGTTCTCGTTTCACAACAAGTGACCTCTGGTTATTAATAAATGTTTTTTCACTTCCTGTACTCGTTGATTTAAAATAGCTTTTTATACAAATGATAGAATTTGCAAGAAAAAATATTTTTATTAAAAAACAATTTCAGATATTTTAAAAAGCCGTTTTACTTCCTGTCAGCTGTCCTGCGGAGCGATGTAATTCAGTTGGATTCATCCAGAGCGCACGGTTGGACCGAATGGGTCGGTTTATAGTTTTATAAAAGTTTCTATTCCTCGTTTTCTGACAAATCAAACATGAGTATGGAAGAAATGGAACTGGAAACACGAGGAAACAGGAACAGCGTTGTTTTTAGTCCTGTTGTTGAAATATGAAGTGAAACTCTAAAACTGCGTTTACCGGCGATCCATCCCTTGAGTTATGAAGCCTTTTCTACCTGAACGATCCACGGGTCAGAGGTCACCGATTTCACTGCGCTGCGACTGTCATGGCCTCCCTCCGTTCATGATTTAGTCTACAGGTCTACTTTAGGATCCGTTGTTCCATCGGTGCGGGTTTTAGACCTGGACGTGGTCTCTATCAGAGCCGAGCGAAGTTCTTTGGGTCTTCAGAGAGGTTGGAGACGTCCGCAACGATTCGGAGAAAACACGTGTTCAAAAGTTGAGCGAGAAGACTGCGAGAATCTGCACCTCAAGACAGGAAACCCCCACAAAAGTTCTGCAGACCCCCTCACAGATCGTGTCCGCCAGCGGCCGCAGTCCACTGAGATAAAGGTCAAAGGTCAGAGCTCAGTGTTTTAACAACAGAAAACATCCACGCTCAGAGTTAAAAAGGATCTGAAGATTAAAGAAAACCTTTGAAGGACCTTCAGGAAGCCTGGAGGACTTTAGTTCAGAGGTCTTTTAGAACTGGAGGAGCTTCTGGGAGGGAAACCTGGAACCGAGGACTGGTTTTAGATCTGCAAGTCGTTCGGAGCCCGTCTGCTGCTGCCGCTGCTCGCCGCTGACACTCTTCGGTTTGGAGAGGACGTGGTTGGACTGTTACTGTCCCGGCTGTGTCGTGACATGGAGCTCAGCTCCCCCACGGAGTCTGGACTCTGGGACCTGCTCGTCCTCTTCGAGTCCGACTTGGAGAGCACCCTGGCTCTGGGGCCAGCACAGCTGCTGCGGAGCTTCATGCTGCCGGTGCCGTGGTAGGAGTCTCCGCTGTCCGAGCAGTTCCCCTCCATCACCGTGGAGCAGTTCCACGGCGGACTGGGCCTCCGGGCCTTCCTGCCCATGGCTGACAGCGCGGTGCAGGTGGAGGTGTCCGTCACGGGCAGGGTGGGGTACTCGGAGCTCCCACACTCCAGGTCCTCGTGGTGCGACGACGAGCGCTCCTCGGGTTCGTCCTGTTTGTCCACAGGAGGCGAGCGGGTCTCACTGCTGGTGTTGTTGGAGTTGCTGTTCTGCTCCGTGGGGCTCGGCACCCCCTCCATCATGTCCTTGTGGCTGTCCGTCTTCGCTCCGGGGTCTCCTTGGATCGGGACGAAGGCGGAGGAGGCGCTGAGGAGGGGGTAGTTGGGCCCGTTGCCCTGCTTTTCCAGCAGTAAGGTGTAACCACTGGGAGCTGTGGGGATCGTACTCTTACGTCCAACTGATGTTCCAACGCAAACCTGATGCACCACCGAGTTCTTCTTCGACTTGTTGACGTAATACTCGTCCAGGTCGTCCTTCAGGTGAGGATAGTAGTCCAGGATGCCCTTCTTTATCTTCTTGAAGCTCAGGTGCATGATCTCCAGCAGGCTGAGGAACAGGGAGATGCAGGCGATGACCTGCATGAACATCATGAAGATGGTTTTCTCTGTGGGCCTGGACACGAAGCAGTCCACCACGTTGGGACACGGCTCCCGGTCGCACTTGTACAGGGTGTTCAGGCGGTGTCCGTAGAGGACGTACTGACCCATCATGAAGCTGACCTCCACCACCGAGCGGGTGACGATGTGGGCCACGTAGGTGCAGAGCAGCGAGCCCCTCAGAGGCGCCTTGTTGAGCTTCCCCTGCTCCAGCTGCCTCATCTCCTTCTCGATCCTCCTCTTCACCTCCACCATCTCGGCGTCCACCGCCTCCAGCTCGCGCCGCAGAGCCACCTTCTTGCAATGGCGCTCCTTCTCCAGGGCGCGCAGCTGGTAGATGGCGTGGCCCATGTACACCAGGGAGGGCGAGGACACAAAAATCACCTGGAGCACCCAGTAGCGGATGAGGGAGATGGGGAAGGCCTGGTCGTAGCAGACGTTCCTGCAGCCGGGCTGCTCCGTGTTGCAGATGAAGTCCGACTGCTCGTCGTTCCAGACGTCCTCCGCGGCGACGCCCAGGACCAACATCCGGAAGATGAACAGGATGGTGAGCCAGATCTTTCCGACCATGGTGGAGTGGATATGGACCTCCTCCAAAATCCCCCCGAGGAAGTTCCAGTCCCCCATTTTTCCTCTTCAGCAGATCTGACGTCTGGTTGGAATTTCTGTAAATTAAAAAAAAAAAAAAGTTGGCATGACCCTTTAAAGTCAAAACTGAAACAGATTATCTCAATAAAACTGATGTGGGCGGGGCCTTGGGCGGAGCCAAAGGCTTACAGGCCATCACTAATGAGACAGACAGACGAGCACAGTCAAAACTAAGCCTTGAACATAGTTACTGTGCAAAATCTTAATGTGTATTAAGTGTTTCTGAAGTGAGCAGCAGAAAGTGCTCCATGTTGACCAGTCCAACTTCCTGTGACCCGTTTAATCTCTGGATAAATGTTCTGCTGTGAAGTCAGGAGGTCCAAACAGGACCGGGTTCAGTCAGCATCGTTCTACTGGAGGGAACATTTACGTTGCACTGAAACAAAAGTCTGTTTTCAGTTACAACAAATTTAATCTGACAGAAACAGAATTTAAATCTACAGAAATGTTTGCTTCATTTAATATCTTCAGAATTATTTAAGTATATTCATATAAAAACAGAACGTTTGATTCTTTTTATAAACCCATCGGTGATCATTTGATTTAATGACAACATAATCTCTGGAGGTTAAACTTATTTTGTTAAATATTCATGAAACAATCTGGATTATTTTTAATGTTAATATATAGTATAGTCTTAACTGGAGTTACTGGGAGAGATCATTTCTCTCCAGTTTTAGCTTCTCTCCATTGGCTCCCTGTCAAATCCAGAATAGAATTCAAATCCTACTTCTAACCTACAAAGCTCTCAACAACCTAGCTCCATCTTATATTACAGATCTTATTGTTCCATATTTTACTAACAGAGCACTTCACTCAGACTGCAGGTTTACTTGTGGTTCCTAGAGTTTACAAAAACAGAATGGGAGGAAGATCTTTCAGTTCTCAGGCTCCTCTCTTGTGGAACCAGTTTCATCTGCTCCTCAGATAATTGTTAAATTATTTTATATAAAAATGTTAAATTATTTTATATAAAATATAAATGTTATTTTATATAAAATATAAAAACGTTAATTATTTTATATAAAATATAAATGTTAATATATAAAAATGTTTCTGTTCAGAGGGGACTTCTGCTGTGACTTGAAGCTTTAAATAAACAGAATATAAAATGGTCCAACTCACCTTCCACGTCAGATATGAAGAAAATAAAAGTGACGAGCCACAAACACGTCTTCATCATCCTCACACTCGCTGGTTCTGACCCGATCGGAACCAACTGAACCTGGTCGGCCACTGATTGGCAGGAGACACGATCAATGATGCCGAGTCCATTTCCCTCCCAGCTGACAGAACTGTTCTGTTGAACCCAGAGGACCTGAACCGGTCCAGTCCATTCTGAGGACCTAAACTGGTCCGGTCTTATCTGAGGGCCGGAACCGGTCCAGTCCATTCTGAGGACCTAAACTGGTCCGGTCTTATCCGAGGGCCTGAACCGGTCCGGTCCATCCGACATCCTGGTGTGGATTATAATCTGCTCGCTGAATGATAGCTTTATTTGTCCCCTTAGGGAAAATGGTTGGAAAGACTTCAGAACCGGTCTGTAAATGGTTCAGAACCTTGAGGTTTATTTGAACTAAAACCTGAAACGAGTTCTGAACGAGTCTCCGTCTCTGGACTCGATCAATGGGACACGTCCCATTTCACGCCCGACTGCTTCACTGCAGGACTCATTCCAGATCCATTAACAGGAAATCAATGGAGCTGCCCAACCGGACCGGGTCCACGAGTCGTGACCCGGCCCAGACTGAAAACAAACAGGAGCAGTCTGCAACAAAGTGAAGCCACACGTCGTTCAGTTTCAGATTTATTAACGAAAACAGAAACGATCCTCCTGAAGAGAAAACATGCAGGAACAGAAACGACCCGATCCTCCTCAGAACCGCCGCCTGGAGTCACCTCACAAATAAAAACCGACAGAAATATGTTTACATTAACACTCAACTGATGAACTACACGAGAGTTCATCTGAACCGGACTTCAGGAGGAATCGGAACCTAAAGGACTCCTGAAGACCAACATCTGGGCAGCTGTTCAAATACTGGATCGAGAACTAAAAACATCTGAGCCCGTTCAGAGCGACTTCAGATTCTGACTGGAGGGAAACTTTATAAAAATCAGAACAAGCAGCCGTGTTCTGCAGACGGAGCCACACCCGGGTCAAACGGGCCCGTCTGATGGGGGGGAGGGGGGTTGTGTCTTCTTAACGGCCTCGGGACTTCCGCCCGGCCCAGGAGCGAGAACGAGAGCGGGATCTGGACATGGACCTGGACTTGGAGTGGGAGGGGGTCTGGGCCCGCCGCGGTTCTTCCTCGGTGTAGTGGGCCACGGACGGGTCCAGTTTCTCCTGTGGGGTCGCGGATCTGGAGTGAGACCTGGACCTCCTTCTGGACTCTCTGTGAGGCCTCTGCCTGTACCTGAAAACAGGAACCAATCAGAACGTTGCAGTTAGGAACCAATCAGATCGCTGCAGGTAGGAACCAATCAGATCGCTGC